TCCCATACAAAATTCAACTGACGCAAAAAACTGTTACCTGTCGTTCACCAGATTTAACGGCTCCAGACTTCTTTTTGTGGGGCTATTTGAAATCAAAGGTTTATGTCAACAAGCCAAGGACCCTAGACGAACTTAAGGCCAACATCCGACAGGAAATAGCCGCCATATCGGCCGAAACATTGGTCAAAACGATGGAAAACGCTGCAAAATGGGCACTACTCGCCATGCAGGCTCAAGGCGATCATTTAAGAGATATCATATTCAAAAAATGATGTACATAAATATCCTTGGACCTTATTAAATGATTTTTAAAATGAACAGCAAAAAATGTGTTTTTTTCCCATGATTGAAAAAAAAAACATCTTTCCGTCGAATATGGCCAACCCTGTATACTTATCATCTCTCAAGTGTCGCCATCTTTTTCTTACGTAATCTCTCCCTCAGCGTTTATGCGATTATTCATGCAGAAATATTTTTTATTCTGTCGAATTATGTTATTATTTTAAAGAGCGCGATGATACGGTTGCTCGCGATGGTATCGCACGTGATGACGCGCACGTAATATGATGCCGCGAAGAAGGAACGAATGATTACAGACACAGAGATATTTTTATTTTAGATATTTATATATGCCATATTTACTATTTATACTTATCGTATTTCCTTCATTTCTGATACGGATAGCTTCCTAATCATTCCTGATACGGATCATTTTCATAATTGATTAGACCTAAAGATCAAAAATCTTAAATCTATCGCAGTAACATTATACGAGCGATATAACATAATGCCGGTTAAAAGGAGGGATGGGAGAAAATGAATAAATATTAAGATAAGTTAATATATATATATATATATATATATATATATGTATATATATATATATATATGTATATTTATTTTTTTTTTATATATATGGGACAGTTTTCAGTTATTTTGCTTTATATCGGGTGTCTTTTAGTTTGAATTTTTATTTTAATTTTATTTGAGGCTATATTAATTTTCTAAGGTTGTAGGATCAATATGTTTAGTCTTGGTTTTCATGTGAGTTATTAAAATTGATTATAGAACAATTATTTGAGATTGTTTATATACTGAAGTTTTGAAAATAAATAATTGTTGAATAGATTTCTTTACGTAGTAATTTTTAATATATTGAATTCTTTTAAATTTTTTCGATTTTAGTTTTTTGCCATTATCTTCTTGCAATTATCTATTTGAAATTTGAAGAAAATATTTTAAACGGAATTTTATCATAGAGATGTATTCATTGGTTTAGTCAAATCAAATGGGTGGAGATATTCCTAATTGTTTATAATAATGTACATTAATAATTATTATTCCAATATTTGTTATTTTGAATATGATAACTTTTAGGTAGTTGTGGGAGTTTGTTTATACTGATTTTAGGGATCTGATCTCGTAACTGTAAGTTTTATTACATTTTACAATGTTTATAGTAATATTATATTATATTTTTTTTATAGAATTCTGAGTTTACTAAATATTTGACGCGATTTCTTAAAGCTAAGTAGACATACGATTTTCAAGCTGGTGCACTCTGATGAACATAACATTACGTTGACAACATAATGTCGCTATAATAAATGGAATATTGCCATGATTACGAAAATATATAACTAATTAATGTAACACAAGATCTACAATAATACAATAGTTATACTTCTATTATTTTTATTTTCTTTTCCTCAAATCGAAGGAAGCTAAGTAACAATAAATGAAACAAGAAAAAAGAGAACAAGTTAATAAATGTATCCTTTAACGCATTGCATAACAATGTTAAAGACTAAAATATAATAATTTCTAAATATTGAACGTTAACCCAATGATATTGCTCACAGAAATGTATTATACCAACATATAAATTTATATAATACCCTTTTTCTATAACAATACATTTCTATAATCTTGAGAGATCTAAGTGAATAAATAATTACCAAGTAATAATAAAATAATCAAATATATTCATCAAATATATTCATTGAATCTTTTTCTCTTAAGGAATCAACATAGACGACACAAAGGAGGCGTTCTTATCTCTAAGGGGAAGTAATTATCCCGAAGGAATTTGTAACATAATCTAATCGCAAGCTTATAGAAGCCTCTTTCGAAAATCAAAATTTAGAATCTCTCAAACTTTATGAAAATGAATTTCACTTTTTTTATTGCAGTTGCGACAACAATTGAAAATTTACCATAGTTATAATTATTCTTAGTATATACGTATATATTATACATCTCCTGTTTAAACTTTATATTATATATATATATGAAGTAGATCAAAAATTTTTTTATTTAAAAAATGGAAATAAATAAGGAAAAAATTCGCTACATTTTGCAATATTACTACGATAAAGGCAAGAACGCTGCACAGACTTGTGAAAAAATTTGTGCTATTTACGGTGAAGATACTCTATCAAAATCAACAGCACGGAAATGGTTCGTTCGTTTTACTGGAAATTGTAAAAGATGAACTTCGCTCCGGTCAACCAATCATTGAAAAGTTCGATGAAATCATGGAAAAAGTCGAGCATGATAAGCATGTGAGCACTGTGGAAATTGCCAGGGAACTAGTCATCGACCACAAAACAGTTTTAAATCATTTACACAAAGTTGGATACAAAAAGAAGCTCGATGTTTGGGTTCCTCACGAGTTAAATGTTACATGATGGACCGAATTAATCTTTGCGATACGCAACTGAAACGGAATGAAATTGAGCCATTTCTAAAGAGAATGATAACTGGTGATGAAAAATGGATCACATACGGACAATCGAACTCGCAAAAGATTGTGGATAAAGGAAGGAGAGAAGGCATAAGCAATCGCAAAATCTGGATTGACGACGAAGAAGGTGATGTGTGTGATGGGATTGAAAGAGAATCGTTCACTATGAGCTGTTATCGTCCAATCAAATAATTAATTCCGAACTCTAATAATTAATTCTGAACAATTGGAGAGAATACAACAAGCAATTGAGAGGAAGCGGCCAGAATTAATCAATAAGAGGGGCGTCTTCCATCATGACAACGCTCGACTATACACATCTTTGATAACTCGACAAAAATTGCGAGAGCTTGGCTGGAAAGTATTAATGCATCCACCGTATAGTCCTGACATAGCATTAGACTATCATTTGTTTAGATCTCTGCAGAACTCTCTTAATGGTGTAAAGCTGGCTTCATTAGAGGCCTGTGAAAATCATTTGAAGCAGTTTTTCGACCAGAAACCACAGAAGTTCTATCGCGATGGGATTATGGTTCTGCCCCAGAAAAAATGGCAAAATATTATTGAAAATAATGAAATAATGGAGCATATTTAGTTTAAATAAATTGATTTTAATACTCTAAGAAAAACATTTGAATTTTACTAAAAAATCGCCACGAACTTTTTCCCATATCCAATATATATACATATATCCCGTTTAAATACTTTATACACAGTTTAATTCTAATGTTCTAGCTTACTACAGTTTAATCTGTATAACACCTAAATATATTATTACTCTAATAAACAACGAAACTATTACCTAGCGGTGAATTAAGCGTGAATGGAAAAGCACATATATTCTAATTTAAGTAACGGATCTAATTTACCGCTTTACAAATTAAAGAAAGAAATTAGAAGGACAAAATATCAAAATCTAAAGTTGCAGAATAATTATTTTATTGTTCATATAGAAGAATAGACGCTCGATTAACTATCGCAGTACTTTCTTTGTCTTATCCGAGATTCGAAGACGGTAATTCGTCGTCGCGAAGCACAGTTATCTTCGAGCACTCGTCACGTTAAGACGTCCTATTCCACTGTCTCAGCAGCGTGGGCATTTTTTAATGCATCGATGACCTCTGTCATTACGAAAGTCCACGATGCACGCTACGCAATATCCTTCGCGAGAACCGGCGGCGGCTTTTATATTTAATATAGGATTATAATGTTGCGAGCCCTCGTAATATATTATATTTAAATGACACGTGGGTTCGCAACCTAGGAAGTAATGCGCAGTCGTACATCGAATTCTTGCCTCGACCAAAAGTACGAAAATTATATATCATAATTGCAATATTTTCGAAAGCAAGAATCCGTTGGAATTGCTCGATTTCGCGAATTCCACAATCTTCCTTGGAAATCATGATACCAGCGGATTTCGTTAATTCTTCGGCCAACTTACGCTGTAAGTGAAGAACGCTGGATTCCCATCTTTCTTGCAGTTCCCACCGCAGTTGCCCATGCTCTTGATATACACGTGCCACTACGAGTGAATGGGGAAAACACAAATTGTCTGTGTTATTTATTTGCAAAATCGAGTGTTTGGCTACATCTTCGCGAGTTAATCAATTAGATTGACGCCCACGACCAGCAAGTATTGAGACTTTGAAAACACGTAATGTAAAATTTTCTGCGATATTGAATCCTCCAGCACTTTGCGCCAGCGAACTTACGAGTTGCCATATGTTCTGTGAGTTAAGTCGCGTGCTAGACGAAACGATAGACCAGCCGGACCACGCGCTAAATCCTCTGGCTCGAACGATAATCCTACGTAATCATTCGGTTCGCACGAATGTAGTGCATACGTCCGAATTTCACGGAACGCGCTTTCTATCCAACGAACGATATCAGTACCTTCGGGTGGCGGACGTATCGTGAAAGTTGCCTCCCTCCCTAGTATCACAAAATTCCTAAATCAACGCGAGTTTTCCGATCTTAACTCAATAAAAGAGAAGTTATTTCTAATCTCCTGCTGATGATGGCCGGTGATTATTTTCCTCCTGATGATGATGTATCTGTTGCCGTTGCTGCTGCTGCCGATGTTCATCGTCGATGGAGTCCTCGAAATTTTGCGAGAATTCTTCTTCCAAGGGAGCGTTTTCTTCCCTTGCGATGTCGCGATGTAGAACCGCGGAGGTAGGATGATCGGCACCACCGCCAGTTTGTACTGTAAAATAAAATTAAACAAACTTTATTAATCTGATAACATCACTATATATACAATATTAAGTCAGAAACTTATACTACTAGTCGTAACATTACAACATGGCAAGACATCTGTTTACATGATCGTACGTGAGAGGATACTGTTTTTTCTTTTTTGTAAATTTTAATATTCCAACGACATAAGCAGAACAGGGGAGTACGAAATATCTGATAAAAATATCTACTTAAATATCTCGAGCAACAAACAAATTTAAAGCAAAAAATAAAAATATTATCACCTTCATTTTCAAGAGGTGCGTAATATGTGTTTTCTTCTTCTTCCTCTATTACCTCCTGAGTTACTATTACCTCGTCACATATTTCCTCCTCCTTCTCCTCATCATCACCGTTATCATCAATGCTATCCTCAACATTTGCTTTGTTCTGCTCCTCATTATCAACAGCATTATCATCGGCATCATTATTATCATCATCGTCGACATCATCATTGACATTGTTATCATCAATGTTCTCATTATCCTCCTCCTCTCCCCTTCCTCCTCCTCCTCCTTCTCTTCTTCCTCTTCCTCCTCCTCCTTTTCCTTCTCCTCCTCCTCCTCCTCCTCCTCCTCTCCAGACTTCACATTTTCTTCCAGCGTTAGTTCCTCCCGCTCTTGTTCGATTTCCTGCGCTAAAAAGTAATTTTTGTCACTATTATTATTTTTGAACTCTGTATAAAACTAACTCTCTATAACTTATTTAACTCTCGACTAACTTATTTTTTTTAAAAACTTACACGTTATGGAAATGGTGAAATCTGGAGAGACCAATATTCGAATCGAATCAGACGAACTCAAATCGCCATTCCTATCATTGTTGTCATCATCATCATCTAAAATAAAATTAATTTTGTTCTTTATCGCATTATATCTATATTATATGAACTAGATTTCTCGGTTATTTGTAAAATACTTACCAATTACGATGATAGGAACGTCACGCGGAGATGGAACATTATTTTTCGGTTCAATTCGTGCTCTTCCTAAAAAAAATAAAATATTTTAATAATCGAAATTTCTATAAACGTTTAGTTAATATTTATTTCCTAAAACTTACTCACTAGTACTCCCTCCTCTTCTTCTCTCACAGGGTGACGTCGCTTTAAACTAAGTCGTCCTACTGGACGCTCCCTGTGATGCGGTATCGCTCGTCCTATAATACAATCGGTTTTATGAAATAAATATTATAATTTAATTACAAAGTAAAACTTTTAATGTTAATATGTGTTCAATTTTATTTTAGAAATTATTACTGCTTACCTCTTAGTCCAGTGCGTTGCTTTAAGTTAGCTATTGACCTCCTACGTCATCCTCCTCATACCAAAACACTCGCGTATTTCTAGACGAACGATTATATTTTTTAATCTCTCATCACCACCGCAATGCCCCAGTTTGTGTGCATAATGCACTAATGTGCTGGAGCATTCATGAAATATTTCCGAAAATGGAATTTTTTCGCCATTATTTGACAATTTTTCAGATAATCAGCGGCAACTAATTTTTTATTTTAGTTGCTAGCAACGATGAAAAAATTGGTGAATAACTCGCGAAGTTCCATTTTTTAAATATAGAATTAAAAACGACTCATAAATAGTCAACATAAATCAATTTCTACAAAGTCTGAATGCGGGACTAAACTGTATGTACTTTGATCAGTGCATGCTATTTATGTTCGTAAAGACATTCATAAAATTTTTCTCCCCGAAAAGAATCGCTAAAAGTTTCTAGTCCCTTCATCGGCCGATAGGTTTTAACAATTTTAGTAATTGGTTGCTTCCTTTACTAGAAATGATTTTCTTGTAAAATTTAGAAAAGTAGGAGACGACAAAAACTTTCTAGTTATGACCAACCCCATATCTGATCTAGCTCCGTCTCTCCCCCATAAAAATTATCTCGAAAAGCATCGCTCGCTTCGTATTTATCCTAATAAATAATCTTTAGCTCTCGTTTTCATTATTATCCGGAAAGTTTTTGTCACACTATAAAATTTTTATTGTTATGGTAAATCTCACGTTTTAAATTTTTTCTTCTGTTTTTTTTGTATCTTCTTACTTGAAAGGATTCTCATGCAATATTAATCTACGACTGATAAATAATAAATTTTTCAACAAAAAAAGAAATACATTTTTAATAGAAATTCCTATATCTCGCTTGATCAACAATATTACTTGATTTTTGTTAGTTTTTTCTCTTCTTCAGGATTTGCCTTATCATGAGGAAAAAATCATGGCGATCATTGAACATAATTCCCTTCGTTTAAAACTTTCCTCATGTTTATTAATTTAACTAATATTTAATAAAACAAACAAAAATAGGACTATGAGCCAAAAATTATTGTATAAAATAAAACATGATATAGAATATAAAAAAAAACAATAAAAAAACTAGAAATCTTTTAAGTTAAAAATTTAATATAGGAAAGTGTTTCGATCGCGATCGGATCATTTTCAAAATATTAAAAACATACATAATCATTACAGTCGGAAAAAACAAAAACATAATAAATTATCTATTCCGCTCTCTAAAACACACGTTAGTAACATGAAAACGAATATCTTAATGTTCACAATTGTAATGTATAAGGAAAAAAGAGCGTACGCATGATAATAGCTACTACATTGAAATGCTTATAATGTCAATTTTAGTAAAAAGAATGAATGTCCTTTGATTAAAAGTGAACGGAGAACGCAAATATGAATCTGATCCTGTAGAAAAATTATAATATAAGTGAAATTATAGTATAAGATTGAATTGATTAATATGATTGAATATAAATTATAATATAACTAAAATATAGTGCTAGATAACAATAAAAAAAAACCAGATAAACAATTAAAGACTAGCAATGTAATACAATGCAATGTAATATATGAGATGATACATAGCAAAATTAATGAAGGTTAAGATTGCAAAAAGAGAGAGAGAGTATATCTATATATTAACTGAACTTTATAATATAGTAACAGCTAAAAATAATATCTTTAATATAACATACCTTAAATCAAAAATTAAAAATAAAAAGAGATTCAGATACAAATAGTACATTAAAAATAGACAATGCGAAAAGAAATAAAACAATATCTTGTCTCCTCGGTGTTCTAAGACATGATGGAATCACAAAATTGACATTTAGAGAAGGAAGGAGAAGATTTGTTGGTTGGAAAGTGAAAGGAGGAAAGTAAGAGGAGATAGAAATGTAGATGAAAGCATGGAAGAAAAAATAAAGACTAAAAGGAATTAAGAAGAAGAAAGAGATTGACTATATTTAATTTTTGTATTCTATAAATTTCCATATACTGCACGTTATTTTTTTGGGAGTATACACAAACAGTCAGAAATAATTTCTCGAAAAGACATCGTTTCGTTGTCGAAAATAAAAGTCGAAAGTTTTCGAAATTTCTATTGATTTCGACGGATTTTTGGATCCAATTTTGATTAATTTTCGAGATTGTTGGGTTATGGGAAGGGTTTCGAGTACACTGTAGTATACGATAGATAATCAGATTTTTACTTGTGCGCTTTTCATTACATGAAGCCTCTTTTTTGGTAAGTATGTCGTGTGTGAGAGAACGAACGAACGAACGAACGCTTGCCTGAAAACAAGCAAGTAAGGCCATCTCTTGGCACATCAAAAACTCTCTAGAGTTGGAGCTTTGACAAACAAATTAAATAGATAGGCCTGAGGTACAAAAAAATAAAGAGATGAACTTATCACAAAGACAGTTATTGAAGAAATTGAATCCAATGAAAAAGATCAAAAGAAAAAACGATTAACATAAAAGGTTGAATTGCATTCTCCAAATAAAGAAATAAAATCTTGAATTGATCTAGTCAGCATAAAAATATACTACTAGTGTCACTAATGCAATAAGTAAATTCAACGTAGTGTCACTAATAGCACAATAGTAGTGGAGAAAATTTTATTAAAGTTTCATTGAAATTTTATTGTGAAAATAAGTATTATTGATTAGCATTATATTTCAGAAGATACACGACAAAATTATAACAAAAAAAAATTTATTTTATGAATTCGAGAACTAATTTTATGATGCAGCCATGCACTCACCCGAATCCTTCACCATGCTTTATTTCTGTGATCGCACCGGAATTGCTCCTTCGAAGAACTATAAACACCTATAATGCTAATGGATGTATTGTAACATATTTATTCAAAGATGTTGTGAAAGAGGCGGAACACATAAAAAAAAAATATAATTAATGTTAAATATAGTAGTAATATACATGATGACACCTACGATAATAACTTGTTTCTAATAATACTATAAAATTATTATATTTATTAGTTGAAATAATACTAATTGCTCTAATGATATATATGTGTATGTATATATATATATATATATGTATATATATTGTATATCTTTTTATATATTATATTTTGTATATATTATATATCTTTATATATATATATAAATACATGATACTGAACTGTTCCTCCGGGTCGTTCCTTTTTATATTATGCTACTTGTTGGAATGGGGAAAAGAAGAGAATTGGAAGGGGAAGGTAGGGGAATCGGTCAGTCTTCAATAACCGAGAGAATGATTTTCTATATTTTATTTATGTTGTAGCCATTATCTCTATTCAGATTGTTAGGGTGTTTTTGTATCTTTATGGCTTCTCATTATACTTTCTCATTATACTTTCTTGGAAAGTATAATGTTGGCTATTGTGGTCGTTTTATCAAATAGTATTTGATGTCCTGTTCGATGTTGTGTTCTGATAATGCTGATTGCATGACATGTTTTAGACATCACATTGGTATTCCTTTATCCATAGGTTGATCATTCTCCCAGTTTCTGCAATGTATACTTGCCCGCAGAAACAAGGTATTTTGTATACTCCTGCGGAGCTGAATAAAGGTCTCTGATTTTTAGGATTTCTTAGGATTTATCTTATCTTTTTGGGTGCTTTGAAAATAATTTGGATATTGTGTTTGTTTAATATCCTTCGATCTGTTATTCCTTTGACATATAGGAGAATGGATATCCTTTCGTCTGATTGTGTATCAGATACCGTTGTCTTGTTTGCATGTTATTGATTGTTTTGATTATGTCTTTTTTGTCATGTTTTTCTGTAAGGCTAATTTTAAGTGATTGAGTTCTGTCTGTAGATGTTCTTTGTCAGAGATGGTGGAAGCTCTATGTACAAGTGAATTGATTGCAGACTGTTTTTGTACTAAGTTGTGGTGCTACTCGGCATGTATGTATCTATCTGTGTGTATTAATTTTCTATATACTTGATGGCCTAAGATATCGTCAGCTTTCTTAGAGACAAGAACATCTAGGAAGGGGAGTTTTCCGTTTTCCTCTATATCTATAGTGAAGTTTGGATGTTAAGGAAAATAAGGAATTTACGGAATTCGGCTCTGTCTCTATATCACGAATGTGTCATCTATATAACGGAACCAACTTCTGGTTTTTTGAATGTTTTTCTGAGAATCTCTTCCTCAAAATGCTCCATGAAGATGTTGACGATTACAGGAGAAATAGGAGAGCCCATTGTCGCTCCTGAAGTTTGTTCATAAAATTAGTTGTTATAGGGGAGAAGTAAGTGGTTATTAAGCAGTGCTCTATTAGCAGGATGAGATCGGAGGGGACTTCATGTGAGGCCTTTATTATGTTTAATATGTCTTTTATTGGGACTGTGTGAAAAGGGATTCTATGTCGAAACTTACAAGCAGGCTGCTCCTCGCTCTGATGAAGTAGACTGCAAGGTTCACGAAACGTTGGCATTTCCAAAAATCTTGGAATGGATTTGGACACGGAGAAAACTCGCGAAACGCATAATCTTTATATAGAAAACATCCGTGGAAATCTCAAGAATATATGTATATGTGTGTGTGTGTGTGTGTGTGTGTGTGTG